GCACGGCCCGTGGGCGTGGCCTCCAGAACTCCCTATTGGGCACCGTGGGCTCTCCGCCCAACACCCTATAGGGCGGGGCCTCCAGGAGACTCCTTAAATTTGATGATTGCTCAGCACAACGGCCCGCTGTGAGCCCAGGGTTGTGTCCCTGGGAACTTTTCACAGGGCTGGGCAGTGTGCACCAAACCAGGAGGGCTGCGGAGGAGTGGCGTTCAGAGGCTGGGCCGCAGGTTTCTGCAGACCTGCCCCGGAGGGTTGCCCACCACCCCTGCGTCCTCTAGGGTCGCAGCCTCAACCGCTGTTCTGGCAGCATCCCGGGCGGCCTTCGCCTCTTGCCCATGGACTCCTCTGCCCAGCAGATCGGGGAAGAAACCTACACCCACATGCTGGGACTGCTGGAAACAGAGCGCTCCGCCATACCATCGGGCCGGCCTTCCCTCCCTGCCTCCAGGTCCATCTGCCTCCCCCCTTCCCTTCCTCAGAAGGACACCTCCTCAATTCCCAGCACTGGCACCTCCCACAGCTGTCCCCGAATGCAGGGACGGTGACTCAATGAAAGGCACACAGTGTTTATTCAGGGTCGGGCTGGAGCGAGCTGTCTGCCCTGGGGTGCAGGTCTCAAGGTCTCAGGCTGGGGATGACCTTGGGGGCAACCCCTGGCTGCAGAGCCTGGCAGGCTGACCCTCGGGAGCCAGCAGCGCAAGGGTGAGTCATACGGGGGAGGCTGCCTCCCTGCTAGGCAGAGGCTCAGCAGGCCGCGGGTGCAGACCCGAGGGCACCCATGCCGCCAGAGAAGTGCCAAGTCCACCCTACTCCCCCTCGACACCCTCTCAGCCTGACTGCACTCTCCCCCTCCCTCCGCTCACAGGAGCCCTCCTGGTGGCCTGTGGGTAACCAGGGGTGCAAGACACACCTACCAAAGCACCCTGACCCTGGCCAGTGTTCCCACTTTGCCGGTGCCCCAGGTCCTGTGGGCAGGGACACCACCACTGGTCAGAGGGCTGCAATTCCAAGGGAAGCCTGGCCCAGCTGTGCAGCTGCTGGGCAGAGCTTGGCCTGGGGGCTCCTGCTGTTCCCAGGGGCTTCTGGTGACACACACGCCCCACTCTTGGTGTCCTCTCATCTTCTGATGCAGAGGGGGTTCACGGAAACGGGGTTCCTGCTTCTCCTTGCACCCAAGGTCCCCAGCAGGGGAGGCCCAGGGTGCCCGGTGTGTGTACAGACTCCTCCCAGCCAGACATCAGTGTGCTGCCACCCCTGTCACCATGATGATGCGGCCTGCCTCTCCCAGCGGGGGCCAGGGCGGCCCATAGCACCAGGAGCACCCAGTTCCGCCAGCACTGTGGGCTGCCCGCAGACCGGTGCAGTCCAGGGATCCAGAGGGTGAGGGAGGCCCCCGCCGAGGGCACGGCTGCAGGTGTCCCGCAGAGGACAGCAGCCAGCGCAGCAGTGGCTCCATGAGGACATCCTGTGACGTGAGATCCCAGGACGAAGGACACGGGGACTCATGGAGGAGAGCAGAGCGAGGCACACCCTCAGGAGGCCTCCTGACCCTGCCTCAAGGCGTGACGGCCACCTCGGACCTAACACCCCAGGAGCAGGCGCCGCAGGGCCCAGGTGGACCCTGGCAAGACCCAGGGCCTGCGCTGGTGCCCAGGGAGCACGCTGCCCTCCACGCCTGGCTGCCCGAGGGCGGGAACGGCCTGGCTGCAGATCAGACACACGGCCTGGGACAGACGCACTTTGCTTTTTCTTTTATTTGTCTACATTCGGCTGAACTCAGATATACTGCCTGAATGATCCAGACATACAAAAATCCCCACTCTTTCCCACTGGTTCTTAAAATAAAATCTTCACTTATAAAACTGAAACACTAAAGCATTAAAATACAGAAAGCTCATTTAACTCACTTCACGAAAGCATTAACAGATGACGTATCCCTTCCGAACTATTTCAAGACAAACGGAGCCAAGTCAACACCAAGTGTGCATAGACAGAGGGATACTGAAGGCAGAACTCAAACTACCCGGACACGGCTGCACGGCAACTAAGAAACCACTGAAGACACGGAGTCCCGAACACGGCTAACGGGGTCACAGCTCGGCCCGGGAGGCCGCTGCACCTGACGACACGCATGTGGACGGGCGGTGCTGTGATGTGTCGAGGTCTCCTGCGGACGGGCGGACGGGCGGCGGGGCGGGGCGGGGCCGCCCGCAGGGCTTATCTGTACTGGTAGCTCATGCTGTGCTCTGCGTTCCTGCTGTAGCCGCCCTGTGAGGACTGGTAGGAGCCGGGGGGGCCGCTGTAGTTCTGGCCGGAGCCCGGGGAGCTGTAGCTGGACTGCGATGAGTAGCCTCCTGGGGGGAAGAGAGGCAGGGGGCGTCAGGGGCCGGGCACGGGGCTCCCCAGAGCAGCCCTGCCCCGGGGCCTTCACCGGTCCTCGGACTCACTGCTGCCAACAGCCTGAGAAGGGCAGCTGTGACAGAAGTGGTGACGTGCCCGAGTCCGCGGCCCTAAGTCACATCCACACCCAACACCTCAACAACGCAGGGAGGCCCTCACTATCACTGTCACTGTCACTGTCACCCTGAGGAGGAGCCACCACTCCAAAGACTCGAGCAACTCTGGCTCCTAAAAATGAGAAGCCCCAGAGCTGCTGCGGCCCCGGCCTGCCCTGCTCCTGCCGCGTGAGTCCCCATCACAGCCCCGCTGGCCCCCGGCTGTGCCACCAGCCGCCCAGGCCCACCTTGTTTGCCTTGGTATGAGGAGCCGCCCCCAGAACCTCCGCCGTAGCCCCCATGTGACCCTGGGTTGTAGGACGACCCGCCTGAGCCGTAGCTGTTCCCACCGCTTCGGCCTCCACTACCACTGTAGTCTGGGGGAGAGAAGACAGCGTGGTTAGGGGCCTGCGAGGGCACCCCTGGACGCGGCCCGGTCCCGGACTTTACAGATGTCAGTTTGCTAAAACACAGCATCAGTCCCAAAAGTGATGCCAGGGGCCAATCCAGAGCCCTGCAACGTCAGCCTGCCCTGGTCAGGCTAGCCAGCAGGCTCTCACACCGCCGCCACCTTCCCCTCCAAACCAAGCTGCACTCAAGAAAAATTCACTAGGAACTTCAGCACCGCCAAGTTCAAAGCCAGATCCTGCCAAGACTGCCACTGCCTTAAATGCTGCAGGCTTTAAATTCCAGATCCCATTCAGGGCCAAGGCTCCCATCTCGCCTGCTGCCCCAGCACACGGTGCCACCTCACACCCCCTCCTAGGGCGCACTGTGTCCACACAGGGCCAGAACCTCAGGGCAGCGCGGAGGCCACAGCTACCCGTCCACCACGAAGACAGGGGCCTGTGGCACAGACCTGAGCTGTGCGCCTGGGTCTAAACATCCCCCTGCCCACCCACGGCCATACGCCTGTCCTCTTCCTAGGCCCCAAGCCAGAGGCCCGGGCAGTGCTGGGCTGCAAGGCACGCCAGGGGCCAACTCACTGAATTTGCTCTCGTAGCTGTAGTCGGAGCTGCCCCCGCCGCCCGGTGAGCTGTAGGAGTTCGAGTATGAGTAGCTGCCTTGCCCGTGGCTGTAGCCCTTCTGCTTGCCCTGCGGCGGGCCGTAGTTGCCGTACTGGCTCTGGTTGTAGGACTGCTGCTGACCCTGGTGGGACTGGTAGCCTGAGCCGTAAGATGGCTTTTGCTGAGTCCCATGCGGCGGTTTCTTTCCAGTATGTTTTGGGGGTACCGGTGAATTGTAGTTGTCCCCTTGGTAGTAGGAGCCATAGCCGGAAGAGCCACCACCGCCCCCGCCGCCGCCACCACCAGCATTCCCAGAATGCCCTCCGTTGCTGTAGAACTGACCTAGACAGGGAGGCAGTGGGTCAGGCGGAGGATGCGGAGGGGAACGGGGAGGGGAAAGGTGGCAGCCATCGGCCCTGAAGGCTGACCTGCATACCCGCCGCCCCGAGGCAGCAGGGGACCGGAGGGGAGCAGGGCTCCGCTGGAGAAGGCCGCCTGGCTCGGGCCGGCCCAGCCTTCAGCTCCACTCACCCATCAGCTGGTGACAACAAGGGGTCTTTGCCAAGCAGCGGCACGACAGCAGCTTTTGCAGCAGGTGTCAACATTACAATGAGATGGGCTCCGAGCGCAGATGACATTCAGGACTGACGGCTACCCAGATGTCCCCAACGGTGACAGGGAAAGCAAAGCCCCAGAGAAGCAGCAAGCCACCCCCACTCCTCCCTGTGCTGGGAATAGGCTGGACGGGCACAAGCCTGGGGGATGCCAGATGCCCTGTGATGTGGCCCTAAACCCACCCACACTGCTGGAGACCAAGCTCACACCTGTGAGGCGGGGAGGCTCCCTCACCTGCCTGTGCAGAACCCCCAGAGGGCTCGGGACGGGAGAGGGCTGGGCGGGCGGGCGAGCTGAGCTGCAGGACAGATGGATGGATGAGCCTGCTGCACTGCACCGCCACAAGCAGTCCTGAGGCCCAGAATGCTACAGCAAGGCGCTGCTTCCGGTCACTAGGTTTGTGATTGTAGTGGAGTGACAGGACACCTTACGAGTCAAGAGGCCAGGTGAGGCTGCAGGCCAGGCTGTGGCACCTGGCGGGGAGCTCCTGAGCTGCCACAAAGTGGGCCTGGGCCCAGGGTAGGTGGACGAGAGCCTGCCTTTCCTTCCCAGGCAGAGCACTGAGGGCTCCAGAACTTCTGGGCAGGGGTGGCCGGGGAGCCCTGAATGTCTCCCTCCCATTCCCAGGACGGGACAGCAGCCTATGCTGCTGTGTTGTGTGCTGGGGCACCAGCACAGGCCCGCAGGATGGTGCCGCAGTCGGCGTCTGTCTTCTTCAGGCAGGCGCCCCCACCCCGTCACAAGCCACAACACCGAGATGCAGGAAAGCGAGCATGCGAGGCTCAGTGCGGACCCAGCCCGCCCTCCCCAGTGTCCTGCACTGAGCGCCCCACGCACCCGCCTGAAGCCAGGAATGAATGAAGACGCAAGTACGGCGGACTTGTTACTTTAACATGTATTGATTAAAAAAAAATAAAGAGGAGGGGGAGTTTTCAACGTCATTCAGGATAACTATTTCCTGGTATAAAAAGACATTATTCTCAAACAATAACTTTCTAAAAAAACAAAACAAAACAAAAAAACATCATGCAATCAGTTTTAAAAGTTTCACTGAATGTTTCAAACCTTGGGGAACAAATCATACAGTAACCGTTTTGACCAGTTTTTGCCTGAACAAACTGCAAAATCTTGCAAGTCAACACAGAGGTGGGCTCTGCTGTGAAAACAAGTGCAGAGTGGAAGCAAAACCCCACCATCCAAGGATCAGGAGGGGCTCAGCGAGGAGCCGCCAGGCTGGCACCCTCGCAGGCCGGCAGGGGCAGCATCCAGGGAGCTGGGGCCTGCAGGGCCAGGGCAGCAGCCCACGCTTCGCCCACAGCCCCAGGTCAGGCTCCTCCTGCGTGAATAGGTGTAAAGCCCCAGTTTAAAGAAATGCAGATTCCGTGTACTTACAGCTGTGATCCTGACTTGCAAAATTTTGTGTTTTTTACCCTTTAAAGCCTGTCTGCTTCTTGCACAGGTAATGGAAGCAGTTTTGATACCTTTGAGAGTTCACTCTCTAGCTAAACCAGCCACTAATACCGCTCCCCAGACGAGAACCCACCAGAGCATTACACAGGCGGGAGGAGGTAACTCGGCACGGTGTACAGTCCCCACAGTCCCAAAGTTTTACATGCTCGTTTAATTAAAAATAAAGTCGGTTGCTCTGGATTCAGGTGTGGTGAAATTTTCATCACTGTCAAAGGCATCAACCAGATTTGGGAGTTTGTTAAAAGGTTAAAAATTCATACAAAACCTGCTGTAAATTAAGACAAAGGTAGATTAAAATGCGTCATTAACTGTCTCTTTAAATAAAGTAATGCTTTCCATAAAAAGCAAAGGTGGGCTTTTGCCTTGATGCTGAACAACGCTGGCTCTAGAATTCTGTGCAATTCTGCACAAAAAATACATTCTCTGAGAAAATTGTTTTCCACTTAGTGTGAACTTCAATATGACCAAGTTCAAAGGCAAATCACGATAAAAACTGCCATTGTCTTAAATTCTGCAGGCTAAGAGTTTCAGACAAGCTGCGGTGGAAAGCCACGGTTGAGAAACCCAGTGAAGCACAGGGACACAGCACGGACACTTTGGGTTTTGGAGTTGGAGGAAATTGGAGTAAAAAGTTGATTTTGTGTGCAATACTTTTAGACGCTCTAGGAAGACCCAAAATCATGATAGCCGTAGCAGTCTGTGAAAAAGTCACCTACAAAAGGGGGAGACAGAGCAGAGAGAAGAAATTAGAATTCTTTTGAAAAAGGGCACAGAGCGCCACATCTGAAATTCATGTTTTAGATTTCTCTGCTCCTGTGACCCCCAATGAAGGCTCCTTCTCAAGACAAGAGCGGTGCACTGGCAGGAAAGGCGCATTCATGAGATTGGTGCTCCGTATGGCTCAAAGCAGAGAAATTTAAAATTCTGACTCCTAAGCAACTTGGAAGGCACACGGTGGGTGTGTCCGCACTAAGAATCAAGGACGCCTGTGGGACAGGCCGCGAGGGCCTTCTGGCCTGGTCAGCACAAAGAGGCGCTGGCTGCTCCTCAGCCTCAGGGAGGCTGCACACCCTGCTCTAGCTCAGGCCCCCACCAGCTGCCACTTCCACCCACGTGGAGACAGAGAAGTGCAACTTACTGTAGCCTGCTGTCGCCGAGTTGCCGCCGTACCCGTAACTTCCATACCCCGCGCCTGGAAGGGAACAGGCAGGTTACTGGGGTAGGATGCCGGCCGGCCCTGCCCCTTCTGGGGTCCCACACTACACGGAGACAGCTCTCTCACCAGCGTTCATGTAGCCTCCATGGTTGGCACCGCCAAATCCTCGACCTCGGCCTCGCCCGCGGATGCTGCCACCTCGGCCTCGTCCCCGGAGGTTGGGGGGCGGGGGTACCTCATTGTGCATGGGGCCGCCCATCCCAAAGCCCGGGTTGTGTGGCTGAGGAGAGAGCGGACAAAGGGGTCAGGCTGCCCTCACCCCGGATCACTCTGCAGCTGAGGGTCCCACTGCAGCTGAGGACTGGGTCAAGGGTCAGGCCAGGTGCTTACCTTGGCAGCAAATTTTGGTCCACCGCGGACAGGAACCGGGGTCCTCTTCTTCTTGTTGGCATCGAGGGTAAGGGGGGTATCAGGAAACAGTTTTTCAAGTGCGGCAAGCGCAGCATATGCCTTTGCTACTTTCTTATTCGAGCCAGCACCTTGAAACTTTTGTCCATCCACTTCGACCTAGAGGGAGAAGACGTTGACAGTGTCCCTGTGGGGGCAGACCGCACCAGCACCCTGGGGCCTCGCTGGCCCGGCCCGGCCCGGCCTGACCAGGAGCCTCACCTCCATGACGAAGCGCTTGTCGTGGCTGCCTCCAGTCTCGGAGATGAGCTCGTACTTCAGCCCGCGCCTCTTCTCGTTCAGTTCCATAACTGGGTTCTTGCCATGCTTGGTCAGGATCGGCCCCTGCTGTTTTACGTTCTCAGGGAAAGCACAGAAGAACACCCAGCAGCTCAGCTGCGGGCCTCCGACAGGGCTCAGCCCTCACTCCACGCCCCGCCCGGCCCGGCCCGGCCCGCTCTCCCGGCAGCCTGCAGCCCTGCGCACAGGCCGTCTGCCCCGCACACGAGGTCTGCTGGTGCCGCGAAGCCCGGCTCCTCAGGACAAGGATCCTCACGCAGGATCACACTGCAAGGACCAGGGGCCAGCTGCCTGGCCCGGCGTCCACTCCCAATGCCCACCATGCGCTCACCTCAGTGGTGGCATCGGAGGGAAAGGCGGCGCTGGGGGTGGACGCGGCCTCCACCACTGGGGGCGGGGCCACCACAGGTGGCTTCGCCTCGGTCTCCTCAGCAGAGTCCTCCCCCTTGCTGGAGTCCCTGCCTTCGGCACCTGTCGGCAAGCCCATGTCCTGTAACACCTGCAGGGCCACAGACACGGGAAGGTGGTGAGGCATGATGCGGTTTGGGCCAGCCAGGCAGGGCAAGGCCAGGGCACCTGGCTGCATTTCTCTTCGGTTCCTTAGAAGGCCCTGACCGGCAGCCACACCTGAGAACCCTAAAAGCTTTCTTGCTCCGTGTGACCTGGAAATATTTAAAAATCTAATCATCCTGGTACTTTGCTCCCTCCCCGAGATACATGTTGTCCTCACAGGAATGACAGTGATGTGCTCAGGAAGTGATCTGGTCACAGGGAAGCCAGCACCCTGGCTGCGCTCACCTTCACAGCCACGTGCAGCTTAGCGGTCTTCTTGGAGGGCCCCGAGGCCTCGAACGAACTGCCGTCCACCTCCACGGACATAGTGAAGATGGGGGCGTGCACGGGGCCTGTCTGGGACACCAGCTTGTACTGCAGCCCCGGCTTCAGCTGGTTCAGCCGCATCAGTGCATTCATGGCTTGAGGAGGCTCAGCCTTCTCCTCTGAGGACAGAGCACCAAGACAGCTGGGGCTGAGATTTCACAGGGCTCAGCCGCCCAGGGCCCAGCAACTCTACTACTGTGTGACACAGGTGTTACACACATCTCCCCTCCTGCTCCCATCTCACACCTAGGTACTCATTTTTAAAAGAACTTGAGGGGCTGGGAATTTAGCTCATCGACATAAACACCTGCCTTGCAAGCGTGTGGTTGTGAGTTCAATCCCCAGTATTGATAGAAAAATAATAAAATTAAAAAATATAAAAGAACTTGAGTATTTGTTTTTGTTTGATTTTTTTGGTCTTTTTTGAGGCAGGGTTTCACAGTAAAGTTCAGGCTGGCCTTGAACTCACTTTGTAGCTCAGGCTGGCCTCGAACTCTTGGTGATCCTCCTGCTTTGGCCTCCCAAGTGCTGGGATTACAGGTGTGCAACACCATGCCCAGCTAGGATTTTAATATTTGTATCAGACAAAAAGCACAACCAGGTCTTATCCTCACCACGTGAGTATTAACTGGACAGACAGAAAAGCAGACAGAAGCACTAGCCAGGCGCTGCCCGTACCTTTCTTCTGAATCTTCTTCTTCTTCTTGCTGGGGGACTTCTCCTCCCCATCCTCCTCCATCGGGCGTTTCATAGGTGTAATGGCATAAGTGGTGCTGGGGGGGATCTGAACTGAAAGGGGACCAGGCGGACACGATTGAGAGGTGCAGCCAGCTGCTCCGCAGAACCCAGCCACCCAGGGCCTGCGCACTTACCGGTGTAGTCCACTGGGTTCTCATTCTTTGGTTTCTTGGGCATCTTGGAAGGCAGAGGGTCCATGCCTAAGACTTTGTGGAGCTGGCCAAAGGCAGCAAGCCGCAGTGCATGCTGGAGAAGGGGAAGAGGAGTGTCACTCAACTGTCGGCACCCTGATCAGTGTGTGCGCTCACTAATGCCTTCTGATCCAGGGTAGGGGTTGGGGGGTTGCTAACGGTTTCCGCTACATCAGCAAGGGGTCCCCCAACAGCCAGGGTAGGGCCTAAGCATTCACGCCCAGCCTTGCTGTGGGGGAGGGCCAGCCTGTGACCACCCCCCTCAAGAGGAGTACAGGAGACCCCAACCTGGGGACTGGTTGCCACACGGAGCCAGGTGGTAGCCTGCAGGGAAGGACCCCAGAGCAGGCTGCATAGCAAATGTTGCCCTGCTGCTCTCAGCGCATGAATGCGGCACCTGGGCAGGCAAGGGGCAGACAAGGACCACACAAGGCACCAGGGGAAACAAGCAGCCAGATTGAGGCACCCTGTATCACACCGTGCCTTCGTCGTCAGTCCCCGGCCTGAGCCTAGATTTGATCTGGGGCCTGCCCTGAGAATACCCAGTCCTGGGACTGGAGCCATGAGTGCGGACTGGGGACGGGCTCACGGTGGCAATGGCGACACTATACCTGCGCACTCTGTGTGATATCTTCCCGTTGCTGTCTGTCTAGATGCCCAATAGCATCAGTGGCTTCTTTTTCACAAGGGTCATAAATGCCAGAACCATCTGAAGGCAGGAAACAAGGAAGATATGCAGAGGATTATCTTTAGCATCTCTATAAAGCTGTGCTGGCTGAGGGAACCAGGTGCATTACCCCCCTCGCCCCATCCACACCCAGCTCTGGAAAACACACCGAGCTCGGTGACCCACTCAGCGTCCAGCCCTTGACAGAAATAATCCACTTGTGTCTCAGAGCAAGAAAGTCACGTGGGAGTGGGTCACCACTGCCCCCGGATCCGCCCTCCGAATCTCGGCTGGGGACCCGGTACAGGGCTGGATATGATGGTGCAAGAGGGTAGTCACATGCTTCACCCTAGGGGACATGGAGCTGATGCTGCCCTAACCCAGTCAGTGGACCAGCGAGGAGGGCCCGTAGTGCCTGATCCCTGTCCTTTCCCTGTTTCCCTGCCGCTTGCAAAGCACAAGGCCCCAACCTGGCATCACGATGCCAGACGCCAGGCATTCCAACACTCTCCGCAGGGCCTCGCCGGCACCCATCGGCCTATTGGCCGTGCCGATGGACTTTTCACACAGGAGCTCCAGGGGCTGCAAGGCAAGAGGGATAATGAGTGACCAGTGGTGGCAGAAGGATGGCCCATGTAGTGAGTTCCTGTCACTGGAGAGTAGGGTTTGGCACAAGAGTCACAGCCATATAGTGACACCTGGGGCAAAGGTAGACCAACTTATCCCTTTTGCCATGGCCCTGGGCCAGCCGCCAGGGCCAAACACTGGGAAGACAAGTGCTCTAGTACTAGCTACAGACAAACTTTCTGCATAGTTTCTTCTTAAGAAGGCCAACCAAGAAGCCTTTTATGCTGTGTGGCCCAAGAGGCCATGCTGAGGACATGGCATAGGTGGACACTTCTATTTAAAACCAAACTTTCGGCAGGCATGATGGTGCACACCCATCACCCCAACGCTTGGAGGCTGAGTGAAGAGGACCACTGTGAGTTCGAGGCCAGCCTAAGCTACACAGTGAAATCCTGTCTCTAAATACACACATACATCAAAGGAAGCATTGAAAGACCCCAAGCTGATCGTCCATGTGAACTAAGGAAACACGAGGGGGTTGTGCTGGCTGAGCCAGCCTGCTGTCTGGGAGCATCTGCACTTGCCACCTCATGCAGTGAGTGGGTCACACTATCTACTCAGTGTCCTTGTGTCTCTCTCATCCCACCCAGGGCAAGAACTGCAGCAACTGTCCAACAAGCCAAAGGTACGGTCCCCAAGCCCGCCCATCAATGGGGAGGAGGCCTCTGCACAAGCCACCCTGCTGGCTGTAAGCTGTCTTACCCATCCTCTGAGAGGACCCCAGGTGGGCACGCGCGTGCATAGGTCCCTCAGGACTCGGATCACAATGACACAGGACTTCAGCCCATTGGCCCTGGCCTAGACAAAGCAAGCACAGGTGCTTTTCAGGAAGGCAGCTCCACATGCGCACACAGCAAATATGAATGACACAAAGTCTCATGGTGCTGCTTTGCCAAGTGTAAACACCAAGTGTCTGTGGCTGCTAAGTGTGTGGCCACAGTGCCTTAATCACATGGATGCGAAGCCGTTACTCTTAGCGCAAAGCAGCAGCGGCCCACCTGCACTATCACAAGCCTTCTCAAAGGTGTCAAATTTGGGGGGGGTGCTCTGTTAGCAGCTGCATGGTGGCAGGTGCTAAGATCGGCACGGTTCTCATCAATGGTACAAAACCTTAGTGGTCAGTTAGCCAAGTTAAATTAGGAGTTTGCTACCGAAAGACAAAGAGAAGAACAAAATGCAAACCTGAAACCACTTGGCGTGTCGGAGGGACGCCAAGGCAGCAAGGCATTTCTGCCTGTCCAGAACGTCCGGGGGGTCGTTGACTGATAGCGTTTCTATTCATGGATGGAATAAGAAGACAAGGCACAGTTTGACCAAGGGGTTTCTGTCAGGTGGAAAGGGGATGTGGCAGCTTCCTAACGGGCAGCTGAATTTCCCAGAATCTGAATTCATCTCCACCCTTGAGCAGGGAAGGAGAAGCTAGAGTACAATAAACTCTGCCCTGAGAGGAAATTGGAAAAATTGGAGGCCTCCTCCAAAAAAACAAAATACAAAAAACAAAAGGCAAAAACCAAAAAACAAAAATAAAAAAAAACACAAAAAACAAAAAAAAAAAAAACAAAATCAAAAGTGGGAAGTAATTCTAAAAGGAATAATCCACGGCAGAGGGGGAAAGATAGGCAAATCCTATCTTCTAACGAGACTATTCCCTTGCTTTCTCCCCACACAAGAGCTAGGCTAGAGTTTTCAACAGCAAAAACAAAACAAAAAACAAAAACGTGGGGGAGTGGAAATGAACCCCCTCTCTGCTTCCCACAACAGCCATCCCAAGGCGTCTGCAGCAAGGGGACCACCTCCGCCCACTAGGCGGGACTGCCCTAGCCCCAGCCCTTGACAGAGAGAGTCCTGTTGGTCAAAGGTCCAGCGTCCCTAAGTGGATACACTACAAGGGCTTTGGTTGTATGAGAAGAGCCAGAGGCGATCGACAGGAGCACCGAGGCGCCTTGTCAGCCTACGATGCAGCAGGCCAGAGTGTGCCTTGTTCAGCCGTCTGCCTGGAGAGATGTGACCGGGCCAGGGCAGATGATTAAAACTGTGGACACAAAATCAGGATCCAAGGCAGCGTTTACAACGGCATCCGACACTGCACCAGGCCTTGGCATCACCGATAGCCAGGCTGTTGGGCAGAAGACAAATCAAGACTCCCTGGCACTGCTGCAACGCAGACTGACCTCACAACTCTAATGCGACAGTCCTGCCCAGCCATCTGGCAATCGTCAACCATCACAGAGATGTGAGGTTACCAGGGACACGCTTCTCCAAGGCCAGAGAATGGCTTGAGGGAAACAAGAGTTACCACTTACACTTGAGAACATTCTAGGATTCAGAACAATAAAATGGTGTGATTCCCCTATGAAAAGTGCGACTCACTTTTAGTGCCACCAAACTCCTCAGTGTCAAAGACACTGGGAGAAAAGGTCAGAGAATAAAGGTGGACACACCTACACTTGTGCCTGTTCCACAAAGCAATCCAAAACCGAGGAGCACATTTGAACAGAGCAGGAACACCTGGCTTCACAGTCCTGCGGGCCTGCTGCGGCCTCCTACCTCCAGCTAGCACCTTCTCCATCTCTTCTCTGACCACAGGGGATGTCAGGTGAATAGTCAGGGACAGCGGGGGCTCTTTTGTGTTTTTAATCACAATTGCAGCATCATCCACAGACTGGAGTATTTCATACTTGTCTTCTGTTACAGCCTGAAAAATAAAACCCAACCTCAAAACACCTTCTCAGCCAGGCACAGTGGTACACACCACTCCACACCACTACCCATGCAAGCTATGAGACTGAGGCGGGAGGACTAGAAACTGGAGTCTAGCACCGGCAGCTTAGTGACTTAATGACAGTCCACCTTGACACAAAAAAAGGACTGAAGCTGAATGTGGTAGTGCATGCCTGCCATCCAAGTACTCGGGAAGCTGAGACAGAAGGATCGCTTTGACTCTGAGGCCAGCCTGGGCTACATAGTAACTATAAGACCAGCCTCAACTATGCGATGAGACCTGGTTAAAAAAACCAACCAAACCAAATTGGCAGCGCAAGTCAGGTACAGAGAGGAGCAGCCCCAGCTACCTCAGCCCAGGAGCTCAGGGGCCAGCCGAAGTGACAAGCAACACCTTCATCAAACAAAGAATGCCTGGCTTTAGATCAGCAGGAAGCCAGCATGTGAGCCCTCCTCTTGTCACTTCATAGTAACTTTGCCTGACTCAGTCCCATCAGACAAGGTGTGCAGCCTGCCGACACAACCAGGCACCATGTGGAAGACAATGTGGGGCAGCACAGTCCCAGACAAAGAAGACACAGCCCCCATGCCGAGACGCTGCGCCTCCTGTGACAGACAGAAGGTGGCCACAGCCGCAGAGCTGCAAGGAGGCTCACCTGTATGTCTTTCTTCTTTATACAAGTTTGTGTCACTACCAGCAAACTTAAGCTTTTACTGTTTTTATTAACAAAAACTGTCATCACCTACTAGAGAGGACAAATATACTGAAAATATAAATTTGTATTTTTCCTTTTCTTTCTTCCTGTTTTGTTTTTCTAAGACAAGGTCTCACTATGTAGCTGAGGCCAGACTCGAATGCTGTAGTCCAAGCTGGGCTCAAACTGTGGGTGAACCTCCCTCAGCCTCCCAGGTGCTGAGAAGGGAGTGTACGCCACCTTGCCCAGCTAAATCAGGGTTTTTCAGTATCAGCACAATCAGTTTTTCTGGGGCGTAGGTAACTTGGTTAAGGGGCTGCTGGGTGCACTACAAAGCACCCCACACTCCCTTGTATGCAGACACACCACTGTGTGTATGAGGAAGGGAGGTATCGAGAACCGCTGAATTGGTTTATTTTTTACTTTGTGGTACTGGGAATTGTACCCAGAAAGCCACATCCCTAGCTGTTTTTATTCATTTATTTTGGAGATTAGGAAGACTCTCATTAAAAAAAAGTCTCACTAAATTCCCCAGGCCAAACTGAAATTTGCAGCCATCCTGCCTCCATTTTTGGGTTTTGTTGTGGCTTTTTGAGGCAGGGTCTTGCTATGCACTTCAGGCTGGCCTTGGGCTCACTTTATAGCCTAGGCCGGTCTCAGGAACTTGGAAACAATTCTCTTGCCTCAGCCTCCGAAGTGCTGAGATTACAGGAGTGTGCCACCACACCTGGCTTTTGTTTGGTTTGGTTTGAGACAGGTCTCACTGTTCGGTTCGGGCTGGCCTTGAACTCACCTTCTTGTTTAGCCCAGACTGACCTCAAACCCCAGGCTGACCTCTTGCCTCAGCCTCTAAAGTGCTGCGATCACCAATATGCACCACCAAGCCCAACTCAAGCCTTAGTGTCTCGGGGTGACAGGCATTCTGCCTTTTCTTTTTCCCTTTTCCAGTACCAGGAATCGAACTTAGGACCTTGTGTTTGCCAGGCAGGTGCTTCTGCCCTGCTTGTCCTCTTCTTTTTTTTAAGCTACAAATGGAACCCTGGCTCTTGTACATGCTAAGCACACATCCTACCATGGAGAGACAGCACACCCCTGCCTGCTATTTTTATGTCTAGGAAATGACTCCCAAACTAGGGGTGTTGCTCAGTGGTGGGACTTATGATCAGCATGTGGGAGGTACAGGATTTGATCCTCTGCACTGAATTTAAAAAAAAAAAAAGGCTCTTAAATTTACAATGATGTTCACTTTAGACCTTTTTTTTAATAGACAAGAACACGATTTTAATGTCACTATTAGAAGACATTTTAGGGCATCAGTGTTAGTTGCTACTCAGAGGTTTCCAACATACTAACATACTCTTTGTCCTAAACTACAAGGGCTTAGCCCTGTGAATCAGAATTCAGGTTTACAAGAGAACACTTTTCAAGGGAACAAAGTGTACTGTCATTTTAGATTTCCTCTTCACATTTAAGGCCCTGGTGAGCACCTGCGCCAGCAGCGCATGCAGTAGTGGTGCAGTTAGGCCCACTCCCTTTGGCCTCCCAGGATGGAGGCTGGCACCAACTATTCAGATGCTGCCGCCTGGTGCTCTGGCCCACCGCCCGCACACTTAGAGGAGGACTGGGCCTGCTGCAGTAGGTGCTCGGCAGATGCCACAGGCTATCACTTAGACAGTACCTTTTTTGGGGGTACTGACAGTACCTTTTTCATGGGGTACTGAACTCATGACTGCGCGGTCACAAGGCAGGCGCTTATGCCACTGAGGTAAATCCCCAGCAATACAGTACTTTTAAAAGAACAAGTGGGGGGTTGATTTGGTTTTTCTTTTTCTTTCTTTTTTTTTTTTTTTTTTGTCTTTTTCGTTTTTATCGGTACTGGGGATCGAACTCATGACTGCCTGCTTGCAAGGCAGGCGCTTATGCCACTGAGCTAAATCCCCAGCCCCTGGATTTTCTTTTTGTGACAGAGTCTCACTATGCCTTTGGGTAGGCCTTGAGTTAACTTTGTAGACCAGGATGGTCTTAATTCATAACATCCTCCTGCCTCAGCCTCCCAAGCGCTGAGATTACAGGTGTGAGCTACTATGCCCAGCATTTTGTTTTGTGTCTGAGAAAATGGTGTTAGTTGGCTGTGTTGGCACATGCCTATAATCCCAGCACTCTTGGGATGCTGAGGCAGGAGACATGTAAGTTTGAGATCAGCCTGGGCAACTCAGCCAGATCATGTCTCAGAATTTAAAAATAAATAAAGACTAGGAGGGTGTGGCTCAGTATGAAAGCCCCTGGGGTCCACCCCAGGAAAGAAGGAAAGAAAGAAGAGTTCTGTGTATAGCCAGGTTTGGCTCAGGAGGAGAAAAGAGTCAATTCTCACATTGTCCACTCATCTTCATCCTTAAGACCTGGACTGACATTGGCAACTCTAATGTCCGTGGTCATGTGCAGCCTGGCACATGGCAGGCACAGGGTCCTCATAGCTGGTGGTAAGTCTTGGTGACTTCCCCAGGCCCTCAGTGACTCTGTGGCATCCCGCCTATCACTTACTGAAAACATCCCCACTGCAGACTCAAGGGGGATGAGCCTGCTTCCTGGCAACCGACACTGGATGGTCCTTTCTTCTTCTCCTCATTCTCCGTAAGCTCCCTGTCCCCATTCCCATCCCCACCACGGCCCAGTCACACTCACAGCAAGCTGGATGGCCAGGTTGTCAGCCACCTTGTCCAGAAGGGCAGTTGTGGGCTTCTCCTTACATAGCAGCACCAGCTCTAGATCCAAGTCCCCCTTGAGAAGAAGGCCCTTTGCCACCAGGCCAACCCGCATCACGCCCCGCAGGGTCCTGGTCATGTGTTCCGCCTTCTGTTCCCTGAAGGGCACACACACAGGCTGGCTCAGGAGGGAGTCCATCTAGCCAGAAGCCGGCCAGACGGCATTTCTTAGAAAGCAGGCTCTGAGCACAACGCCCAACCTACCCGGCCCCTTCCTTGCTTTCATCATCTGCAGGCACATCCATGTTGTCGGACTCGGCCTGCTCACTGCTGCCCTTCTCCTGCTCATCAATCCAGTCGGACACAGCTTTGAGAGCCCGCTCTGTGTGGGACACCATGTTCTGCACTGCTTCCAGCTCCTCTTGTGTGGGATACACCGAAGAATGCTTCGCCATCACGTGGCGATCATCATTCACAAAAATCCGCATTGGACGCTGGAAACGTGAGAACTAAGCTAAAAAATGAGGCCGAGACACCAGGCAACCCACCACTCATCATTTATGCTGTGCAGCCCAATGCTCCCTACCGTCCGTGTGAGACCAGAGGACGAAGCTAAAGCCTGGGGAACTGGCCCAGCAAACTGCTCTTCCCTCCAGGCAGGGGAGGGACGGGGCGCCTGACTATCTCTACACCACAGTAGTCCCCCCTTATGCGTGGAGATACACTCCGAGACCCCAGCGGAGGCCTAAAACCAGGGACAGTGCTAAACCCAGTATCTAAAACGGCCTTTCACCAACATACAGATGTGTGTAACGTTTACTCTAAATGAGACAGTATGAGGTTAAGAATTACTAGGACAGAGCAATTACAACAGTGTGTGAACAAAGTCCAGGCGGCTGTGGCCTCTGAAATACCTGAGTGCGGGTACTCACCCTTCTTCCTCTCGTGGTGAAGTGGTGATGGTACAATGCCTACGTGATGAGATGAAGTGAGGTGAATGACGCAGGCATGGGGACCGGGCGCAATTTACAATTTATCAATTGCTTATTTCTGGAATTTCCACTTAATATTTCCAGACTGCGGTGGACCGCAAGTAACTGAAACCGCGGGAAGCGAAAACACGGATAAGGAGGGACTACTGCATTCCAATTACTGAGACATACATTACTTTTTAATTCACAAAGTCCAATAGGAAATGGTCACAGAATCAAAAGCTTTGGGAACTGCTACAATCATGGTTGTACATAAATGAAAAAACAGTATCTGCAATCAAAGAAAAAAACTTACCATTTTCACTTTTCTCTGTAGTGTCTGGAAATCAAACTTTTCCTTAACTTTTCAAACTGTGACAGATTTCCTTGGTGTTATCAATACTTCAACTATCTATAAGACCAGAAAATCTGTTTAGTTCCAAGCATTTCATTTTATACATGGGTTCATTTTAGCAGCCTCCAAGAGACCGGCGATGCAGCAGGGTACACTAAGGCACTCAACAACCCTCAGTACCAGCTCCGTTAAAGTGCAAACAGTGCTTTGCTAGAAGCTCTATCTGACCTCACGTCCATAATCAACTGCTTTTTACTTTTTTCTTTCTCCTCTTGATATCCCACCACCACCACCGCCCAGTTTGTTTTTGAGACAGGATCCCACTGCACACCACAGACTGGTCTCAAACTTGCTGGTGATCCTCCTGACCCAGTCTCACCATACTGGAACTGTAGGCGTGTGCCACTGTGTCTGGGTAGCCAGTCAACTTTTGTATAGCTTAGAGGTAAAACACACACAGTACTCAGTATACATTAGGTATACTAAATCCAAGCCCAGGACCAAAAAAACAAAACAAAAAGAAAGAAACCTGAGTGTGGTGGTGCACACATGTAATCCCAGCACTCAGGAGGCTAAGGCAGGAGGATCACCAGCACAGGCTAGCAAGTTCAAGGCTGGCCTGAGCTATAATGCAAAAGGTGTCTCAAAAAAACACAAAAAGTTAAAGTCATAAAAACTGTACATCTGACAGATCTGTAACAGTTACTGTCTGCTGCTGGGGTTCCACTACAGATGTAAGAAAAAGTTGTCAATGACCTTACATTTTCTGACTGTCACAGACTGAAAAGAGGACTACAGGAGTAAATATGGAGAATTTTTTTGCAATTTGTAAATAACCTTGTCAGAGTTGAAGAATTTATTCCATTTCCAAACAAGATAATTGGGGGGGGGGGATACACAGGGTATTGCGATGCAGTTCAGGCTGACCTTGAACTCACTATGTAGTCCAGGCTGGTTTCAAATTTGCGGTGACTCTCCTGCCTCAGCCTCCCAAGTACTAGGATTACAAGCTATGTGCCTCAGCGCCTGGCTGAGATTTTAAAACTGCTGGGAAATATCCCCTACCACCTTCATATAGCTGATTATATCATTAGAGACTCAACACAGGCATGATGGGGCCATGATTGAGTGTCACTGCTGGCAGCTGAGCATCTCTGAACCATGGGTAATACAAGCATAAGACAGGCTCCCTCAGGTGGTATAAGTCAATAGGAACATGAAACGAAACAAAAAATATTAACCAGTATCCAGAAAATGCTATAGGTAAAGATGTTTCTGAAAATCTTGGTATCTGAGTAGGGCACAGTGCTACACTTCTGTCATCTCAGAACTTTGGCTAAAGCAGGAAGACCACAAATTTCAGTCTCACTTGGGAAACTTAAGACTGTCTCCCATTTTACAGGTACGGGGGATTTAGCTCAGTGGCATAAGCACCTATCTGGCAAGAGTTCGATCCCTAGTACTCCCCCTACAAAAAATTTACAGGTAAGTCAGTCAAGAACTAAGGATGCAGCTCAGCGTGAAGGACTTGCATTCAATCCCCAGTACTGCAAAATCAGATCCACCTAAAAACCCTTGCTGCCTAGGGAAGGAAGAGAAAGGTGAGGACACAGGGCCTTGACAGGGGGTCCAAAAGGACTTCTATAGAACACAAAAGCAGTAGCTTCCAGGCAGATTTAACAGCCACCAATGAGTAGACAGATAGCTCTCCTTTCGAACTCAACTTCACAGAGGCTGAGACAGACAACCAACCAAAGTCTTCAAGACGAAAGTAGCTATACAACACTATTCTCTAAATAATATACTGAATATAACCTCAATCCCCACTTGGTGCAAACCTTCTGACCCATGGTGAAATCAAAACAAAAGAACAAACAAGATCCATGTGGCTCTTACGCATCCAGATGAACCCACTTTCCCCTTCCACTATACAACTGTAAGCCTTCTATCTACAGTCAAATAAGCTGGAGAGTAGGCTCAAAGCCTGGAAAGGTACAAGGCCAAACAAACTCACCACAGCACTTCAGGGTTACCTAGCAATTTAAATTTCAATGCTACAAGTTTTCAAGGTTGAACAGCTCTGCACAGCTAGGCAACAAACAGGACACTCAGGGTCCAAACTTCAGGATGAGGGAGGGAAGCGTGATTTGAAGAGCATGAGGGACTATATGGCTGGATGAGGGGAGCCCAGTCCCTAAACTCAAGGCATGCTATGCCTAGGTCTTCAGAGAGCTGAGCCATCACCAACTGGTCACCTAGTACGCACTCAGCCACGAGCTGTGTGGCCTTCAATGGTTTCCATGTCACCGGAGTTATAGCTCAGCGGCATAAGCACCTGCCTTTGCAAGCACGCAGTGGTGAATTCAACCCCCAGCACAAAATAGTTTCCACGGATTTTCCTTCATATACCCGCAGCATGAAACAGCCCTCTACCCTCTGCAAGGGGACGGTGAAAATTACATGAGCCAACCCACCTAAAGCATGCAGCACAAATTTCAGAACCCTCAAAACAGTACCAACTGCCAGGCCTCTGGAAGTAATGAGCAACATGCATGCCCACGTGCCTTAATTAAGGAATTATTTCCCAGCTTGACATAAATGATGTGGTGATGTGTCCTTTGCTAATTTCAGGGAAGTTATGGCTGAAACTAGATGCCTGGCATTTGCTCTAAAATATTCTGGAGTGCTCTACTGTGGGAGGATGAAACAAGAATACAAAACACTGACAGCTGTTGAAGCTGGGAGATGAGTATACGGAAATCTATGTGTACATGTCTGACAAGTTCCATGGCAGCTTGTTTGCTTGAGAAAGGGCCTCACTATGGAACTCAGGCTGGCTTTGATTTACATAGCCTCAGACTTGTGGCAATCCTTCTGCCTCAGCCTCGTGGGTGCTGGGATTACAGGTGTGTGCCACCATGCCCGGTTCTATGGGTTGTTTTTGTTTTTGCAATATTGGGGGATTGAACAATGTGTTCAATTACGTTAACTTTGACTGAGACAAGGTCTTGCTAAATAGGCCAGGCTGGCCTTGAATTTGTGATCACCCTCTCTCAGCCTTCTGAGTACCTCTAAAGGAGAGACCTGCTTGTGACACTGTGCTCAACTCGACAACTTTGTCTTAGAAAACTTTAACACTTACTAAGGTGTAACCATGACAGATAAACTAAAAACCCAAGGCTCAGAAAACAACCACATCCTGTTTTATGACAAGCTCCACAGGTATCTCTGAGCTACCTGGTAAGGAGTCAGTTTTAGATGATACACACTTCCAAGTCCTGTGTCGCACAGCAGTTGGTCATGGCCATATCTACACTGCAGTCTCATCAATCTGGCTGTGATGGCTGCCATTTAAAACTGTATTCATTTATTTATTCAACAACTATTTAGCAAATATCTATCCCATACCAAGCTCTGGGCCTGATGCCAGGACAGTGACAGACAAGGCAAATCAGTGCTTGTTCCCTGGCCAAAAAAAGGGCACCCAAGGGAAAAGCTCGATCCTTCCCGCTGAGCCTAGCATGCTTTACCACAGTGCTGTCTCAATACCTGCCTCTGCTACGAAGACCAAACACACAGCCTTTCCTGCAAGGTTTGAGGGGCCAAAGACCTTCTTATTAAAGGCCTTTGGGACCAAATGTCTAAAATGAGTTTCCTAGAGAAGGGACTGACTGGTCACCTGGTCTAAGTAACCAGTGGACGTGGGCCACACCGCAGCATCTGAAGTCACAGAAATGCTGGATGTGGCAGAGCACAAGCTCCTAGAGAAGGCAGAAGTAACCTGCAAAGGCTCCCACTGGTTCTGTGCAAACAACTAAGCTTCAGAAGGAATAATACTTATCTCTACACTGACTGGCTGGGACGGCAAAACTAATAAATACTGGAAAAATTCTAAATGGTGTCTGGGGATGGTGGCAGGGCTCAACTAGAAAGGGGCAGGCTCACCCCTGCTTTTTAGGGGGATGGGGACTGAGTATATGCAGCAGCCAAACTCCCTGGATAGCATTAAGGTCTGTATTTCATTGAGGGGAAAAAACTGTAAATAAATACTGAACTTCAGTTAACATGCAGAGGACTGCAACTCTGAGCCACCTGGCTTGAAATGCATCACAAAAACTCAAGTGACTGCTGGGTTTGCTGGTGCACACCTGTAACTTGGTAGGCACAGGCAGCACAATCAAGAGTTTGAGGCCAGCCTGCATTGCACAACAAGACCTTGTCTTGTAACAACAAATGAACAGGGGCCAGGGATTTAGCTCAGCAGCATAAGCACCTCCCTGGAGAGTGCAAGGTCATGAGTTCAATCCCTGCTACCTGAAAAAACAAAACAAGAACAAATGCATAAGTAAATCAATTGAGGGATAAACAATACCAAATGGCAATAGCATCCATAACCTAGAGTATGTGGACAGGTTAAGTGGTCACTGGAAACTTATGTATTTCTGAACATTTTCATAATGTTACGAACACACAAATTTACGAGTCCATGAAGATACAGAGCTTGCTACTCTCTACTCTGAAAACTGGAGGGTTTTTGTGTGTGTCTTTTTGAGACAGCGTTTCACTATGCAGTTCAGGCAGGCCCTGAACTCACTTTGTATCCCTGGCTGGCCTCAAACTCACAGCAACCCTCCTGGCTCAGTCTCCCAAATGCTGGGATTATAGGCATGTGCCTGGCTATTCTGAAAATTGCTGAAGACCTAACTAAATTCCCCCCAAAATATCACCCAACACACCAAGGGAAACCACTTTTCCACTTCTGGGAATAAAATGGTATTCCCCATGTAACACACCCTTCCCCATCAAAAGTGCCCCTAGGACACCCACACACCCCAGACTTCACGCAAGAATCCTGCTGCAGGTTCCTTTCTGCTGCCCGCACTGCTCAAGGTTAAGGGCTGTGAGTGTGCGGGCACCAGCTGCACCTCACTTCATCCTCAGCTCCAGCATAGGACCTTGAGTCGACTCACAGGGCTCTGGCTGCTTGGCTCAGGCCCCCCATTCCATCTGCTGTAGCCCAATCATCCCCAAGCTCATCTGTAGACCAGGCCACAGTG